CAGCAACTGGGCTTCCTGGGGATAAACAGGGTGCGTTCTGCCAGCCTTCTCAGCAGCCACCAGAAATGCAAGGAGAGGTTTCAGGAAAAAAATTTGTCTTTTTTCCACCAAGTCATCGAGAGAGAGAGACCAAGTGTCGTAGGGGACGAAGAGAGAGGCTTTTGTGTGCCGATGTCACCGCGTCGTTAGCCTCCGGGTGAGGTCATGACAACATGGAGAGCCGCATGTTGGCTGGTCTGGGCCTCACACAACCAGTGGGAGACAGCGAAGCAGACAGGGATCTCTTTGCTGAGCCTCTGGCCCTATGTCTAGAATCAGTCTGAAGCTTTACTTGCAAGCTGAGTGAGCGCTGGTACGCGCCTGTGTGTCCAAGGTCAGGTCCAGAGAAAGCTTTCCCTTTCCAACAGGGACTTTGCAGGATAACTTCTCCACGCTCACATTTCCCTACCCTGGGAGGCTCCCTTGGAAGCCAAAAGGCTGGTTAGTGTCAGATTCAGCCACACGGAGCATTGCATAATGGAGATACTGTTTAGGCCGTCACATATGTGAGGCTGAGTTCTCCACAATAGCTGCCAATGCCATGATTGTCCACAACAAGGCTCAGGCTTCTTTGCTTTGGCAAAAGCCAATCTCTGTACTGCCTGAAGCAAGAAACCCAAGGCAAAGCTCTCGGGTGACTCTTCTGCGAAAGAAATCACAGGGAGACTTGTCATCTGCTGCACTGGAGAGCCAGGAGCATCAGCCTCCACGCAAGTCAAAAGTGAGTTTGTCAGCTCAGGCTGTGATGCCTGAGGACAGAACCATCAGCCACCTTCTGAGACTCATGCGCTCAGCCCAGAGGCTACAGTTTCTGCACACAGCACCCCAACTGTTACCTGGAGCTTGTCTTTTCCTGCAGGGCTGAGAAGCTGAGCCAGTAAGCGTCAGGCTCCTCAAGGGAGAGTGTTCTGTTTGAATAGGAGCACTGGGTTAGCTCCTGGTGCAGTTTTACCACATTGGTTATAGACATATTTCTATTTATATGTCTGAGACTAGACCTGATCATGCTGCTAAAATTCCTCTTGCCTGACTTTTAGTAGGAAAATAAATAAATACTCATTGCCACAATGACCTCGGTTAAAATGATAGAGAATGTGGGCCACTTCAGGGAGTGGTATTCAGTCCTTGACTACCCCCAAAGAGAGAATTTTTTAACCTCTGTCCTGAAAATATGGGGGGTACTTTAACAAAGCTTGTGGAGATGGAATTAAAAGATAGGCTTATTTGAGTGCCAAAAAGTATTAGACCCATTCATGGGAAGGGTCGTCCAAAAGTTCCTGAAAAAAATGTGTACTATAAAAAAAGCTATGCATGGATTTCAAACTCTTTTTGCAGCAAGACAAACATATCTTTTAATTCCATTTCCAAACCCTTTTTGAGGTCCCCTAGTGGCTGATTTGTTCTCCAGGGTACTCAGGGTCTATATGGTCATGCTTTTTAACTCCAGGCTTCACTCCACTGGAGGCTCCATTCAAAGGGGGAAGAGTTAGTGCAGGATCTCTGGATTCACTTCAACTGGTGATAAAAAGGACAAGGAGAGGCATTGTTGTACCTTTAGCAAGAAAGAAAATGCTGGGCTGGTTGAACCACTCATTCCTCGAACAATGATTGATGCTTGCTTCACACCGGACACTGCTCTCGTGACTTAGAACAAATCCGAAATCATGACCTAGATCTCTGCCCTTGCACATCTGGTGTTCTGGTGGGAAACCAGACCTTAAACAGTGCACATGAATGAATGAACTGTTGATTAGCTTAGGCCATTAGTAAGACTAAGAAGTAGAGCACAGTCAGAAGGATGGAGAGGAGGGGAGGAGGGAGAAAATGTGTACATGCTGGACTGGCCCCCATGTTTCTGGGTCTGAATGTTTTTTAGGTATATGATAAGGACGCCGGTTGTTCTGCTTATTGCTGACATTTGTGGAAGCCAGTTTGCTGCCAGGCACCTTCGGCCAGGCTACCCTGATTCTGCAGCCCTCTGAGAATGCCACACTTGGGCTCTTAGTCTTGATCTCATCCATCTTCACACTTGACTTTCACTTGGCTCTTATGTTGAGTCCATAGCCCAGGGAAGCCCAGTACCTCTAACATGCATTTGTTGAGCTTCATCGTGAAGGAGCCCAGGCTGTTGTTCATGAATTCCAGTGCCAGTGGTAGGATTTTCTCTGAGAATAGATGGGAATTTCAAAGCACAGAAGAGGGATGCTTGTGGTTGCTGCTGTGTGACTCCATCCACTGCCCCCCATGCCAGCCGAGAATGCCAGCATGGCCCATTGCTGTTTATTACTCTATTAACTTCACAGTGAGCACACAGTTCAGACTGATTGCTGGGTGGCCTCCCTGATTCTGTCACTTCCTTTCACACCTACAGATTAGTGGGGACTTCTCAAGGAAGTCCTCCCAGCCAACGGTTTGGCCTGACAGGGGCCTTGTAGTATGTCAGGATAAAGCTCTACATTCCACTGCAGGCCCTGAGGCAATGCGGAAAAGGTGGGGCTATCACTTTCCCTGAGCAGGCCACTTCAAGTCATCAAACCCTGACTGGTCCCTGAGAGTGACAGGAAAGCCCAGGGGTCCCTCTCTCTGTGGGAAAAAGGAATTCTCTTTCCTGTGTTCTGTAACTTTCACAAGTGTGCGCTATCCCTGGAGCTACAGTTAAATGAGAAAGAAATAGGAAGAAGACAATGGTAATGAAGGCCAGGGTAGACAATGGGAAAAAACGTGATCATGCTGAAAGCCGCTCATGCAATGCACAGGCCCCCTGAAGTCCTCCGTGGAGCAATGACTGAGCAGAATGATGGATGGGAGACACGCTTTATCAGTGCTCTAAGAATGATGTCAAATCAGGCTTCAGGTAACACACACACTGATTTCAGGAACTGAGCAATTTTCTTTTTCTTTCGCTTGAGCTTGTTGGTCTTGATTCCATCCTGTGCTATGTTTGTGCAAGAATGACCTCTGTTACCAGGCACTCAGTGAGCTCATTCTCCACCAGGCCTTGTTACCTGGTGCCACCAGAGACTCAAAGCCTCCCTTGGTCTCCCCTGCGAGTGTCACCAAGGCCGTGAAACTTGTCTAGCTGCCTTCAACATGGCCTTGGACATAAGACCATATTTCCTCACAATCTTAGTGATCTCATATCTAAATGCAAAGAGGGGAAACCTGTTACTTCACACCCTGTCTGTGGAGACCCTTCACAAAGTCCATGGAGAAAGGAAATTTAACAATATGTGTATTTGGGTATACACACAAAAATAAAAGAATTGAAGCCCATGCATAGATTTTTCATAACATCCTTTTTCCATGAACCCTTTGGAAACCAAAACACACAATGCATTGTAAAAATTTGTCCCGGATAAATGGAGCTTTGAGGTTTCACTTGCAGGCTGCTTCTATTCAGAGAAAACTTTCTGACAACTTCCAGGTGCTTGCTCCAGCCTGGCATATACCCCGCATCCCTCTCTGAAAGTGCCCATCGGTGCCTGCTACCCCATTTCAAGCTTGTAAACAAGGTGGTCTTCCATGTTTGCTTGGATAGCTTTGAAGCAAGCAGAAGAATCTATCTACAGGAGGACTTCTGAAAGGAAAAGAAATAGTCAAGGAAAAATAAAACCAGACTACTTAGAGAGGTTGAACTACATCTCTCCTTTTTGTCCCCTTCCCGGTCCTGCATCCCCCTCCCCCCACCCCCAGATTCTCCGCCCTCCTGCCTCCCATTCTGTTTTGCTTTTCATGCCAAGGCTAAAGACTGTAATTTAAAAACTGAACTGGCTTTTCCAGAGCCACGAGGAATGTGCATCTGCACGTGGATTTTTCCACAAGAAAACGGTCCCTGTCTTTGGGTTATTGTGAGCCAGAAACAATGAGGCCACGGGATGAGTCCACCTTCTCCCCAGGCCTTCTTCTAATTTGTTTGTGAGGCTCCGACAGGCCCGAAGGGGATGGTTTGTGTTTCAGCCCATCAGGATGCTGTTTGATGAGGTTTGTGCTCCATTTGTTAGGATGGTTTTTATGGTTTCTTTGTTGTTCGTAGAAAGACTTTGAAAGTCATAATTCTGTATCCTTAAATCCTTCTGCTATTCCTGTTCAGTGTCTCTCCGAGACTCAGAGCAGGCACAAGCACGTAAGGGAAGGTCCTAGTCCGTTAGTTAGGCAATTGCTGAGCATGGCTGCGGAAGCATGTGGGTCCGTTCAAGGTAGAGTTTGGGATCACATGCACTCCAAGGCATCCTAGCAGCAAAGCTTGGTCTCTTGCAGGTGGGAAGCAGCTTCCCCTCCATGCATTTCTTGCTCCTGCCCTTTGCCCAGCCATGCCTTGGGACTAATTCCCTGCTCTGTGGCCATCAGGGCCAGGCAACTCTCCAGCCACAGGAAAACCTGAGAGACCCGACACAACCTGGAGTGTGATCACCCCTCTGAGGATCACAGCGCATAGCGTGGGATGGAGGAGCCTGCTGTCCATGGCCCAGGGTGCAAATCCTCCCATCAGAACTTCCATCCAGACATCCTCCATTTCTTCAGAGCTACATAAGCAATTTTTCACACAAGTATTTTCTTTATAACCTTGCGTTACTATTTCTCAGAAGATACATAGCACCTGATGTGATCATTCCATAATGCCATGCTGTGAATAAGTCATGTAGATTTTTTTAGGGTTCACCTGAGGCGTCACACCTAATGGCATCAATGCCAGAAGTCCTGCCAAGTTCCTGACTTCAAATCCAGGGTTTTTTTTTTCCTGACTTTGGCTTTTGAAAAAGACTGAAACCTTCTCAAAGTCAGAATGTTCAGTTCTCTCCACTGTCCCATCCTCAACTCCAATGGGAGTGTATACTTTGGGAATTAGTAGCATTTCAAAATGAATAGATTGAATTTCTCCCAGTCACCGAGACATCATCTTCATTCAGGCTGTCTGAAAAACATGCAAGGCTAACACACCTCTGTTTGTTGTTATCCATCAGATCCTTCTTACGACCCAGTCAGGAGAGGAGGATGGGGCAATAACATGAATTCTGGCATCAACAAAAGTAAGTAATGCCATACCATTCTTTGGGAAGAAAGCATTTTTTATGAGGATAGGATGCAAATCAGGGTGTAGAGGAAGATAGAATGAGCATCTGCCTCCAGGCTTTTTGAGTAGACAGCAAAATGGATTGCTGTTGAGGGGCTTGTCCTTGACAGCCACTCCCTGGAAGACAATAGAGGATTTCCTTTTAGACCTCTGAGTTGAGTTTCACTGCACTCGGTGTTAGTGCCCTTGAAGTATGAGGGATTTGGGAGATGAAATTCTATATTCAAGGACACTAGGTTTGGGTAAATGGCTATGACATGGCTCCTATAATTGTCAAAGCTTGATGATACCCTTGTCCCTGTGTTCATTTCAAGAAAGAATGAGGTGGTAGGAGAACCTGACAGGGAAGTGATAGAGGTCAGAACCAATCAAGAAGTCTACCCAGTATGAGAGAGAGCATTGAGAGAGAAAGGAAAGGGGGTGACTCGAAGAGCTTCCTCAACCAGAATATATCAGTGTTGTTGCCTCTGGGAAGTAGGATGCCAAGCATATGAATGAGTGGTAAAGAGAATGCTTCCAAGCATGAGTCTGGGATTGCAAATTAACATCCAAACATCAACCCAGACCCATTTCAATTATATGTATTATTTGTTTACTCTGCACACAGAGCTTGGCAGTGAGAGACTTGCATAGATGAGTCAGGCACGGGCTGATTCCTTACTCAAGGGACAGAAACTGGGCACACACAGCATCCTTCATCTGGAACTATCAGCAGAGGGTTTGTGCATTGCTGCCATTTGCGTTAGCTCTGGAAGGATAGGCAGAGAAGACCTGCATGTCTGGCAGTGAGGATTGTAGGCCCACGGCATGTGGGATGTGTGGCAGAAAGTGCTTCTAAATAGGTAAGAAGAAACATGTGAATAATTAAAAAAAGGATTTTGAGAGACAATTTACCTGAAGTGGCAAGGTCTGAATCAGCCTAAAGGTGGGAATTGGGAACTCAGTCTAGGTCTCCATGTGGATGACAAGGAACATAACTCTTTGAAACGTCATGGATGTCTCACAGTGTGCACATTAGCAGGAAGCTGAAATTGGGGAGAGAGTCAGGACTTGAACCCACGCCCTGCAATATGGAATGTGGGTCTCCCAAGTGATGTCTTCATCACTGTATCAAACATCCAACAATGGATTCCAATTCCTGAGACAACCAAGTCGCTACCAGTCTCACATGTGGAGTGTGTTGAAAAGATAAGACCAAGCCTGCAAACACGTGAAAAACAGCACACTTCTAAAGTGCAAATGGTGCAGACATCATGAAGGGGAACTCAGGAAACAGACTCAGGAGGAGCAGGTGATCTTCACTTAGATGTCACCTTCTCCTTAAGGGCCTCTGTAAAAGTCCAACGTAAAAACGAAATCCAGCAGTCAGGCTAGACTCTTAGTTTACTTTTTAAAAATCTGTTTATCATTGTTTCTCCATTAAAGTGTCAGTTTGACCAAGAAATCTTCCTGCACATTACTGAAGCCCCAGCCTAGAGCTAGTACATAGTAGATTCTACAAAAGTGTTTATGAAATAAAAGGAATAAATGAGTCAGCGGGAAGTGGATGAGAGAATGAATGCAGAAGCATTTGTCATCCTCCGGAGGGCCTTTGACAGATGTTTCTTTGTCTGTATACTCACTGTACTCCTTGTCTTCTTGTTCCAGGTCCTCCCCTCGGAGGAGCACAGACGATGAGCAAGAATGCCGAGCAACGGCCCCAACCAGGTACCTGACCAGGATACACCATCTCTCCTTTGCTTCTGCTGCAGCTGTTGAGTCCACATGGTCAACTATGGGGGATTTACACTGCTTTGCATATATTACCTCTCTTTCCTTTCTCTAAAGATTTGTTTCAATTATTTATTCAAAAGGTAGAATGATAGAGGAATGGGTAGACAGAGAGGAAGAACGAATCTTCCATTTACTGGTTCACTCCCCAAATAGCCACAACAGCTGAGAATGGGCCAGGCTGAAACCAGGAACCAAAATTCCATCTTGGTCTCCCACATGGATTGCAGGGGCCCAAGCACTTTGGCATCTTCTGCCACCTTCCCTGGTACATAAACAGAGGAGTGGATCAGCCACAGTGCAGCTGGGACATGCATCCAGAGGCTAATATGGTATCTGCCCCATCTTTTTTTTTTTTTCAGAGAGTTTCTATTTCTATTTATCTCTGTAGCAGATCTGTGAATGAATTGATAGGTACTGAAAATTAGATGGATATATATTAAATATCAAAGGTGAAAGATCTTAGATCTTAAATGTTCCAGTGCCTCACTTTGTAAAAGAAAGAAGCTGAGGGGCAGAGAGATGAAGTGATTTGCCAGAAGCCACACAGCTGGTTTAGGAGAGTGCTGGAGCAGCAACCAAATTCTCTCCAACCTTTAAATCATCAACATGTCTTTGGAAATGACCCTCACCCCATGATGCAACTGCTTAACCCTTGAGACAGAAGGGTTTTGTGGTGGACCTAGAAATCTTTGCTGTTGGAGCAGAATTGAGTGAGTTCTTGGTCTAGCAGGCCTGTGCAGCAGTCCCGGCCTGGACCTGCCTCACCTCTGCTGCAAGGCTGGGAAGTTCACAGGGTAGACACTGGGTTTAATGCAGCCCAACTCCGAGCTTCTGTCTCTCAGTCCTAGCTCAGTAGACACTGGACCTGGGTTCCTCCCACACATGTGGAAGACCTAGATTTGAGAACCCTGCCTTTGCAAACCCCAATTGCAGTGGATATCTGGGACATAAACCAGCAGATGACAGCTCTTCTGTCTGGCTGACACTCTTTAAATTCCAAAAAAATTAAATAACCAGGTATTTACTGCCTAGTGGAGCTCAATCCCACCATCTGAACCAAAGCTCCCCTCTCTGAAGTCTTACTCCAGCTCCCTCTGTGGAGTTCGCTCCCTGGGGAAGTTCCCTGTCCACTGTAGGCAAAGGTTCTTCATGAACCTAAGCAAGGTTGTGGTGCAGGAGCCCAAGCTCCAGCTTTACTCTGTGCTCGATAAAGATGCAATTCAGATTAGGCTCAGAACAAGGCATCTGCTTTGGGCTGGGCATTGTTCTTCGTTTCCACCTGCAGAAAATCACACAGGAAGGTCAAGAAAACATTTTTTGGTGGTAAAACTCAGTCAGATGTGGAGTTTTTGCTAATAACCTCAATAACTGCAAAAGCAGACATCACCTGCCCAGAGTCATCTAACTGTGGCATTAAGAGTATAGATGAAAAAGAGGTGAATAAACGGTCTTAAGGACTCTTCATTCATGGCTCCAAGTAAAAGCCTGAAAATCATAGTGATTTAAAAAATCATAATTGTAAAAAACAGCAAAATTATGCAAAGCATTGGCCATATGAAATTCAGGTCTCTTCTACAATTCCCTCCATGGCAAAGATGCAGACAAGCCTCACCTAAGCCAATATTGCCATGACATATTTTACACTAAATAATCATGTACATTTTAAGCAAACGGACTTCTTAAGAATAGTGATTTTATAGCTAAACTATAAATTCTGGTTAGCCTTAACATTTCCAAGCTTAAAATCACAGAGCATTGCACTAGAAAGGAACTGAGGAATCCAGTAGTTCAACCCAATCATTTCTCAGATGAGAAAGCTGGTACCAGACTTTCTCCAATAATTATTTAGTTTACACCACAGTCGGGGCTGGAACTCAGGCTGCTTGGTTTCCAGGCATGTGGGATTTTTTATGCTACATCAGAAAAACAGAGATTTGTGATGTTAGTATTATATAGAACTATTAAAGACCTATGGTCATAAGTCTGTCTTTAAACCCATTAATAAGCTATCCTTCAACTTATTGGCTGACCAATTACTTTTTAAAGACCCATTTTTATTTTATTTGAAAGGCAGAGTGACATAGATAGAACCAGAGACAAAAGTTCAAAATTAAAGGGAAATCTTCTATCTACTGCCTCACTCTGCAAATGGTCACAAAACCACAGCAGGTCCAGTTAGAAGCTTTTAACTCCAGCTGGATCTCCCACACGGGTGGCAAGAACCCAACCTTTGGGTCATCCTCTACTGCTCTATCAGGCACATTAGCAGGAAGCTGGATGGAAAGCAAAGCAGCTGGATTTGAACAGCTCTCTGAAATGAAGTTTCAGATTAACCCACTGTGTCACAACACCAGCCCCAGGCTATACCAGTTATTATCTAGTCCTTTCCCAAACATTTTTGTCATTTTATTTTAGGTAATGACTGAGAAATTTACAAAGTTTATAACTGAGATATGAAAAACAGACATCATTACTATTCCATACTGTTTCTGTAGTTAATGAGATGGAAACCATAACTTTAAGTAAGGCGTCTTGGGTCTATGAAAAAGTAGAGTTTCATGAAATCAGCTCTTCCCACAGCATCGAGATAAAAGCATAAACCCTTGATGCAAATTTTCCTTTTTTGTTTCCTTAGATCCCTATCAGATCCTGGGTCCTACCAGCAGTCGTCTAGCCAACCCTGGTGAGTGTAAAGCCCTCCCTTCTGGAATGCTCTGTAGCTTTGTAAGGTTGCAGAGATATCTGCTCTAAGTTCAGGCACCCAACTGGTGAGCAGCATTTCTTTTCTTGAAGTAGTGGACACCCAATTGTACAGCCTACAAAGGCCAGGACTAGGTATCAAGTGGGCAATGTCAGTTAGCTGAGGAAGTCTCTGGAATGCAAACACGGGATTGTACAAACTTCAGGAGGGAAAGATGGGGAGAGAAAGAAAGGAAACAATCCCACAGGTTCTCGGCTAGCTCCTCCTGTGAAACACAGTGAGGAACTAGTTGGAAAAGAGCTGCTGGGTCTCCCATCTTTGACAAGAGGTGTATCTCGGAAAAGTTTCAGATAGAGTAGGTTTGGCTGTGTCTTTGAAGAGTTCATTAGTAAAGTAACTCCCAGTTGAGTTCTTCTAACTCATGCCCCATAAGATTGTGAGTCAGGAGGCCCTTTGCTACCAGGAGGCCTACACCTCTCATCTCAGGGAAGTGCCTGTCACTTTTACCCTACAGGTTCCTAAGTGCCTGATTAGTCCAATTCAGGTAGAGAGAAGCCACCCCCCCCCCCACCTGTTGCTCTTCTTTCTTTCCCTGTGCAAGGTCTCCGTAGAGTCTAGAGCTGATGGCCAAACACCAGCACCCCTCCTAGGGAATCATGCAGGTCCTATCGGCCTAAGGCTGTGCTGCACCTTCTTCCTGAGCTGTGACAGTCTTTGCTGACAGGGAATGTCTCAGCAGCTTCATGACTCGTGAAGACTAGACCGACACTTAGACTTTTGCAGACAGCCAGAGTCCAAAGTCTTTCCCAAAGGGGTGCAGAGGGCTGGCTTGCCCAAGTTCTCAAGACCAAGTTCATTACCGAGGTTGCATATAGCAGGCCTCACAGCAGATCCTCCTAACGTCTAAGCTTGCTTGTGATGATCATCTCCATGACAAGCACTATGGTGAATAATTGAACGCAGATTTCAAGATAGCTAGAAGAAAGAATTTCGAATGTCCTCACCACAAGGAAGCCATCAATGTTTTGAAGTGGCAGATATGCTTATTCCACCTGACACATGTGGATAGAAATGTCACTATGTATGTCTCATTTTAGATGTCAGTTTTGTTTTGTTTTGATAAATGCTAAGAGGGCAATCGGTTGATTCTGAGCATAGAGGAAGCAAAGGGGTTCACACAGTACGTGCCAGGAGCCAGGGGGTTTAGGGAAGGGGATTCTGACTTCTCCAGGCTGAGCTGCTCTCTTTCCTCCTGTCTGCCTCACCACCTGCAGGAAGCGGGCAGATCCAACTCTGGCAATTCCTCCTGGAGCTCCTCTCTGACAGTGCCAACGCCAGCTGTATCACCTGGGAGGGGACCAACGGGGAGTTCAAAATGACGGACCCCGATGAGGTGGCCAGGCGCTGGGGGGAGCGCAAAAGCAAGCCCAACATGAATTACGACAAGCTGAGCCGGGCCCTCCGATACTACTACGATAAAAACATTATGACCAAAGTGCATGGCAAGAGGTATGCCTACAAATTTGACTTCCATGGCATCGCCCAGGCTCTGCAGCCACACCCAACCGAGTCTTCCATGTACAAGTACCCCTCTGATATCTCCTACATGCCTTCCTACCATGCGCACCAGCAAAAGGTGAACTTTGTCCCTCCTCACCCAACCTCCATGCCTGTCACTTCTTCCAGCTTCTTTGGAGCTGCATCACAATACTGGACCTCCCCAACAGGGGGAATCTACCCCAGTCCCAACGTTCCCCGCCATCCTAACACCCACGTGCCTTCACACTTAGGCAGCTACTACTAGCAGCTTAGTCACTGGGAGTCATCTGGCCGAAGCCCCAGCCCTCGCACTTCCTGGATAATTCGGACTTCGAAGGACATATGTGACCTCGAAGAGAAAATGAAACTGGATATGTTCTTTCTTATTGGATGGAACCTTTGTATTTGCTCTTTAAAAGCAATTTTTAAAAAGTCAGTAACTTTTGCTTCCTCTACCTGAACAAAGAAATGAATGATTCTGTGGACCAGTATGCCAGTTTGGATTCTCAGTCTCCTCTCGTCTTATGGGTTGACTGTTTGATGACTGGAATGGTTAGACTATTATTCTGAGAAAAAAGTTGTCTTTTTATTATACTTCTATGACCAAAGCAGTTTCTTATCAGCACACGGGTCTCGTCATTGTAAGGTTCAGTACAATAAAGAGCTGGGAACTTACCCACTATGTTCTTGTTTGAGACTTAAGAAAACGGAGGTAAGAAGCTGGTAATCTTATTTTAGGGGGATCTAATTCAGTGGACGGTAACTGGAACATTGGTTGCTAAGGCCAGTGAAGTTTTCACCCAACTGGAAATTGAAAGAAAGAACACCTGTGCGTGTGTGTGTTTGTGTGTGTATTTAAGAAGCCATGAGCATTGCAGAAATCTCCTCAGTGGGAAACATGCTCTCGGCTGACCACTCTCTAGAAATAGTCAAAATATGAACTAAGAATTTTTAATACAAATCCAGACATTTCTGAAAGACAGAGAAATAACTATTTTTTCTATGATGACATTGGGTCCCAGAACTTGGAAAAGTCACAGGGATTTCTAAACATAAGCAGATTCGCAAACGCTGTGCGTTTGTCAGACCATCCGACCAGGGTCAACCAATCAAAAGGCAACTTACTGTATAAATTATGCAGAGTTATTTTCCTATATCTCACAGTATTAAAAGTAAATAATTAAAAATTAAAAAGAATAAATAAACGAGTTGACCTCGGTCACAAATGCAATTTTACTATCAAATCAGTCGTTGTTATTTTTTTAAATGTAATTTGTACATCTTTTGTCAATCTGTACATTTGGGCTGTTTGTACTTTTTATAGCTTTTTTTTTTTTTTAAAGCATAATGTGACTATTGCTGAAAAGAAAACAGGGCGTTCAAGTCACTGACTTCCTGGGAAAAGAAGCACTGGTTATTTAACAAGCTTGTACAAGCAAGGGAGGGCAATCATTTCACTCGTAAATGCTTTGGAGATGTTTGTACGAAACAGTACTGCAATCATCACAGCTCTGAAAGCCAACCAAACCTGCCCTTGTGGAGACGAGGGATCTTCCTGCTCTATATATGCAATATATTTTTAGACATTAAAATATATATAATTTTGCAGGTAACCGATGACTTTTTTAACTATATTAAGTGCTAAGCTGACAACTGTCAATGGAGACTATGTTGTAAAATAATTTTACTAAATAAATTGTGCCTTCTTCTATCACAACCACGGACTCTGTTTCTTCATTGGCCCTCAGTTTCTCCAGGGAAAGGTCTCTATTTGCCTCTTGGATTATGAAGAACTTTTCAAATGCACATACTTCAATACAGCAAAAGGTGCGAAACTACTGTGATTCATAGCTGTTGATGATTTTATTCTCATTTTTATTGTTTATGTGAAAGGCAATAATGAGGCAAAGAGAAATGTTTTGCTTCCCAGATGCTTACAATATCCAGGGCTGAACCAGGCTGTAGCCACGAGCCTGGAACTCAATCCACCCATCCATGTGGTGGCAGGTACCCAAGTTCTTGAACCACCATCACTTGATTCTCAAAGCGTACATTACCAGGAAGCTGGATTGGTAGTGGAGGAACCCGTACTTGAACCAGGCACTCTGATATAGGATGCAGGCATGTTTAAGAATAATCTGGATGGGATTCTTCCACAAATCTCTATTCCTGCTCAGAATTTTTGGTATCCACCTTGAAATCTACTGAACAGTCTTTGGGGATAGAAAAGACCCATGGTTCTGCCCACTGCAGGAATGAATACTCTCATCATTTTTCACCGTTTTACAAGATTTCTTTGCTTGTCCTATTCAAATGCTGCCATCAGTTCATTACCTCTCTGTAAAGTCTTGAAACTTGCCCCACAGTTGGTCCCCAGAATGTGTGCCATAGTGGCTTGTTCCGTATTTCAGAAGCTGGACCACAATGTTTGTTCCTCATAGGCTGTGAAGGGAGGACTGGCATTTAATCTGCTGAGATGTTAGATATAAAGTGCTTTGGGCAGCTCTAGGATACTTGGGGACGAGTTACAGAGGACACCCAGTAGCACAGTCCAATTTAGACTTGCTCCTGGTTAGTAGGCACTCTTGGCCCTACTCAGTCACTTTACCTTGCACCTCGAAACTTACAGAGCCTAACAGATCATGCAGCTATGCCCAGCCAAGCAGCATAGCAGGGCTGTGAACATGTCTCCTGGAAGCCACACTTTATCCTCACAGCATGGGCGGGGGCCAGCAGCACTTTTGAGCAGGAGATTGTCTGAGTTCTGGCAGATTACTCTAACCAACTCTCAGAGAGGAATGGCTCATCACCAACTGTGCTGCTCACAGTTCTGAAGTCCTAAGGATTAAGGCAGATTTGATGTCTGCTGGGGAGCTGCTTCCTTGCATGGATGGCGACTTCCCATGGGATCCTCACAGAGTAGAGAAGCCAGGACAGCTCTCCCAGGTCTCTAACAGAGGATTCTAACCCCATTCTTGAGGAATCCATCCTCATGACCTACTCACCTCCCGAAGCACCTGTCTCCTTTATACCTTCCCATTGTGGATTGAACTTGAACAAATGAGCAACAAGTTCAGGCTGTGGAATAGTGGCAGGGGTGGAGAGGGGGGAGAAGAGGGAAGCAAAGGAAATTAGATTTTCAATCATCTGGAAACAGTTTTAATGCCCAAGATAGGCTATAAATTTAAGAACACTTAAAATGGCCAGCATTTTCCAGAACCAATAGTACCTGCATGCAATTGAACAAGTGTATATACTGAGTGCCTGTCTAATGCATGACAACTGGATACTCAGATTGAGATCCAGTGAGATCAGGAGGTTCCTAAACACCAGGGCGGAAAGACACTGAGGGGAGAGGGAAGGGACAGTGTGCCCATCCCCCCCAACACACCCCAAGCCAGGCCATGACACTGATCAGCGGAGAACTAACAAAACAGAAACAGCATCTCTGCGAGATATCTGTGAACTGGTTTCACATTCGAGTCCCTCTCAGACCCACCCACTCTTTAACAACCATCATGTAAACACCAAGAAAGCACCCTTTGGGTGAATGTGCTCTGGGTGGGGGAAGCAGCTACAAGCGTGGCTCCCCACTGCCCAGCTCTGCTCCCACCCCCGACTGGGGCTGTCTCTTGAAGGCTCCCCTCACCATTCATAGCAATGCTGGGCTTGAGTCCAAAAGACCCTCCAGAGACAGCCAGCTGTGTGGAAGGTGGTTGGTATCCAGGGGGCAGACAGAGGTGGACAGGAGACAACTGGATGGAGGTGGGGAGACCAATTCTGCTAAACACAGAGAGGCTTTACTTCTCAGCCAGGAGGAATTCACGTTTTGCCAAAAAGCACACTGGGCATTTCATCATGTAGAAAGCTACTGAAATCGACACTGCATGCCTTGAGCCAGGAGTCCAGTTAAGGATTAGGAAAGGTCGTCGGATTTCAAGACTACAAATCCCAGGCTCCCTCGGGGGCCGGACACTTCTGAGAGGAAGTGGTTTAGCCAAGGCAAACCTCTGGGATTTCAGCCTATTGAGAAAGGATACACAGGGAAGCTTTTGAAAGGAATGTCAGCTCCCTGGCCTGGGGTCTGTCTCGCTGGCTCATTCTTGGCCTCCTGTCTAATTGTTTCAGTCTGTCTGAGCTGGTAAATTCCTAAGCACATAGTCAATTTACACTTAGCATAAAAGCTCTAGGGTGAAACACAGAGTTTCCAGTGAGACCATCAACTTACCTACAATGGCTGGATTAACCTTCTGGATTCTAACTGAGTTAACTCATGTGTTTGCTTAGTTAGACGACAGAGGTGATGTGAGTAGATAAATGAGCATGAGTAGAAGTGTTGGAGACCCTGGGTTCCAATCTGGGCCTTTCTACCTTGTGTCACTTGTCTACACCTATTAGCTGGGGAGCTGAGAAATAACCTCCTGCGTGAGTTTCTGGGAGGTGTTGTGTGACAGTGTGGAAAACTCAGCAGCACATGCATCTAGGGAGCGCCTACAACCACGGCTATCTGCTGGGCTCTGCGTTCAAGTCCTCGGGAGCTGCAGTGGTCTCTGCCTCAGAGCTCAGAGCAGTGGAGATTCTGTGTGGTCAGGAACGGCATTTTGTTCATTTTCTAAATAAAGCAAAAATGAGAGCAAATTGGATTTTCTAGAGGCCCTTCGCCTTTGCCTGGGTTGGTCCCCCTGCCCTCGGGCCTTCGTGCTTCTCCGGCCCAGAGTGCAATCTAGCAGTCAGGAGAATGTGTGGCCACACTGCAGGATGCTGCAGAGAAAATGAGGTGACAGCAAAGGAATGCTGAAAGCACACTTGGTCAGAAACACAGGGGTAGATTTTTAAATCAACAAATAGCTTGAAAGATGGGGCTATTTGCCTGGTCAGCCTGGATCTAGATTTTTCCACAGAACCAAAGCCATCTGATGGCCTTGTGAGAAGGGACCATGTCTACCAGTCAGTAAAGTAGACAATGAGTGACTGCGTAATAAACAGGCCTGCAATTCCAGCAATTCCACCTCTGCATTCCAGCCTGCTGTCTCCTAGCTCAATCTTTCCATCTATAAAAGGAAAGTGATGTAAACACTGCACAAGCTCATCAGGGGAAGTCAGTGACACACCATAAGGCGTCCTCTGCCTTGGAGAGACCCACAGAATTGGCAGAGTGCTGTCTGGGTTCACAGGCAACCCTATTCCATCTCCCTGAACTGGACAGGTCTCTGCCATCAGTTACAGGTAAAACCATATTATCCTACTTTGGAGTGAATACACAATTTTTAAATCATATGTTCAATCTTGAAGCAGTCACAAATGTATATAAAAATAAGAATGGTACAAAAATTTTTTTTTCTAAAAATATCATTTATTTGAAAGGTAGAGTCAGAGAGAGAGAGAGAGAAAGAGAATCTTCTAGCTGCTGATTCACTCCTTAAACAATCACGATGACCAGGGCTGGGTCAGGCTGAGGCCAGGAGCCTGGAAATTCATCCAGGTCTCCCATATGGGTGGTAGAGTCTCAAGAACCTGGGCCATCTTCCTCTGATTTTCCCGATGTGTTAGCTAGGTGCTGGATTAGAAGTGGAGCAACTGTAACTCAAATCTGCTCTCACATGGGATGCTGCCATTGCAATCAGTGGCTCAGCACATTGCACCACAATGCTGGCCCCACAAGGAATGCTTTGTATGGACTCACTAGATGGAAAGTAGGCAATATGATACTCCCACCTGTCATTGCCTTGTTGCTAATTGCCCACATTGTGATCTTGTGCAGCCAACAGCTTCTGTTCAGAAACTCAGATGATCTTTGGTTACCAGATTCTGACAGGATGTAGCAGCACCTGCCCAAGCAGCAGAGGGCACTTACTTGGTCAAGATGCCTCCATCTGGGGCCATCTGATACCTCATTCTAATAAGATTTTGACTTCTCTGAGAGGCCTAGCCCTGAGTCATGACTCACTCCTTCTCCTCAGCCCGATCTCAATTTAGCCCACGTTTGCTAGCACTCATTCCAATGGTGGGTGAAAGTGGTGCAGTCCCTCTTGGCTTCTCTGCAGTTAGTATGTTTTTTTGTGGAGATGCATTCTGAAAGTCTCTAAACATCCCATGTATTATCAATGGCTCCACTCATTCATATCTCTAGCTGCATGGCTTCCTCTTTTGCTGGGAGGACAGCATGTGTTCTTGTCACTAGCTACTTTGATTGATTACGCTGTGGCAGAGGGCGGCCACCCGAGCTCGCTGTGCCAATCTGTAAGCATTTCCTCACTTTCTCCTGTAACAACCTACTTGAGAGTTCCTGCTCCAACCCTGAAATCAGATATTCTTCCGTGGATTCCTGGTTCATTTCATTGGAAAGCGATATTTGGAGCCCCACGTCTGGGTGCTAGCTGTGCTCACGGTTGGGGTGCTGTTCCTGCTGCCAGCCTCTCCCAGGGGATTGGTGCTGAGGCATCATGAGGACAACAAAACTCCTGGTGTTCAGGTCTCTTATATAAAGGGACATTGCATTTGTTGGACCCCTGTGCAGGCTCCACCACCATGGCAGCCCTGTACTGGCCTTCACCCTTGGCTTCAAGAATAAATGCTTCAGGAGGAAAAGAAAGGAAATGGAAGGGAAATGGTGAAATTGCTGGAATCGTAGATTTAGAGTTTCACGCAGCTGTGTGTGTGTGTGTACACCACTACAGTCATGATTTTGTGACTTTCTTCCTGACCCCTCCCCCA